AACTTAAGCTGATGTCAGACAAGTAACTAAGGTGGAAGGCCATACTTGAAGGACTAAATAACCCACCACTCCTCGAAATATATTTATCCATATACTTATGTATATTGCTTTCATGTATTTTTATTATTAACACATAGACACGATGTGTTTAATAGGACAAAACAATTATTTTTTATTACTGAAGTTACCCAAAATAAATTTCTAGCTATGTAACACAGCCAGCGGATACAATAAGTGGATACACAGCTCTATGAGATGCGTAATCCCCACATAGGTATCAAATGCAAAATTTCTCACACAGAGAAAAAGCAATGAAAAAATTAATACTGATCAGGTTGCAATATTAGGATTCAGTTAACATATATTTAAATAACACATCCATATAAAATTCTTCACCTGAAAATATCTCAGTTCGTCAGATACTGAACATAGATTTCCAACGAAAAATATTTCAGAAGAGCTGTTAATGATGGAAAAAAAAAGAAGGGGGATGATGTTTGTATATATAAAAAATTCCGCGTATTTGTCATAATTTGCTTAACAAAAAGCATCTGATATTGGCCTCCTCTAACAAATCTTTAAAAGTAATCCCGATTGCGAGCTACTGTCATTCAGTTACGTCAACATCAGTTCAGTTATGTCAACATCTACATATGTATACGATATTATGATATTTCATATATCAAAATAAAAATTTATGTAGATTGAGATGACAATAGGTGTGACACTTCACAGTAATTCCAGTGGGATCCAAGGTTAGCTCAGCTTGCGTTAAACTATACATCAAAATTGAAGAAGTTAGTAATCTTGCTGGATCCATATAAGCAATATCTGTCGTATATTTCCACGATAACACACCGTAAAAAAGCCAGTTTTTAAATAATATGCATTACTCAAGAATAAAGAAGTGATTAGTGATTAGGTTTTCGTTTTCCTTATTGGCACAGTTTATGTAATAATAATTGCATGTAATACCACATAAGTACATACATCAAATTATTATTATTATACCCCTGGAATTTAGGTTTCCTTCTTTTCTATAGAGAGAGAGATATTTCGTTGAGTGAGCGTCAGTTTTAAAACTGTTTTGCTTAAATCTTACTATGACCGTGTGCGAGTTCGAGTAAATGGAGGTAAAGTATATTGAAATTTCCTAGAAAAATGTATTTATTTATTTATTATATTTATTTATTATTTTTGGTTAAAAGTTTTCAAATTTATTTATTAAGCATCTTATAAAAATTTGAAATGCTGGTAAATACCAACATTCGCTGCCATACCGACATAATTTACTATTTCCCTAAATTTACCATTAATTTACTCGAACTCCCACACGGCTTATATTAATATATAATATGACTTATTTTTAGAAGCTTATCTCTTTTCTTTATTTCTATTTACATTCTTGAACTCAAATGAATCCAGTTTCAATAATTTCCCGTCTTGGATTAATTTATTAGATGTTGTAAGTTCCTTATAACATAATATTATTATTAATTTAATATTAATATTAAAAATATCTCTACCAATATAATTATAATACGAGTATTAATAAAAGTTACATTATGCATAGAGTGACTTGGCATATTTTAAACTATACCTAAGGTAATTGTTTAATTACTTATGAGTATTTTATGTAAATATTTTCTTGTTTTAATTTTAGTTGTGCTCTAAATGAGATAAGATCTTCATTTGGCCAGCACATAATTGCGGTGCATTTATTACCGGAACCAAATAAATTTACACGAAAACGTGAAGTTCCTTGTTGGAGTCTTTTCATGCAAGTCGCGCGTGCAAAGAAGTGGCGGCACAATGTTGACTTAAGTGGTTCACGGAAAATCGAAAATTGATTTGGAAATATTTGATGTCATAATTAATCTGAAATTATCTCAAATGACATCCGTGTTAAGGTGAGTCAATTTTAAACGGATTTTTGGTTTTTTTCAATCATATATTTCTGTCAGTTAAATAAAGCAATTATAATTTTAAATAAAATAAATCAATCAAACCGAATCAATTCGAACGAAAAATCCCAAACCATATTATTTTTCCTATAATAGCAAACTGCTATCATAGGCTATTAATAAATTTTTGCACTACCATATTTGAAATCTGAAATCTTAATTAAATCAAGTGTCCAATCTTACATACTAATGAGTTAGTGGAAAATTATTCCGGAGCAGGTAACTAATGATAAAATTGAAAGCGAAACTTCATACTCATAGTGTTTAAAAATAGAATAATAATTTATACAATTATCTATATAAATTTCCAAAACATTTTCAGATTTTGTATTTTTCTCTGCAATTATCCATATAATTAAGTCAGCCTTTAAGCTCCTTAATTAAAGTACTACTTGTATTAATTTTAAAATAAAATGATTTCAATTTTCTATTCCTATGCTTAAAATTTATCAATTTAAAAGTAATAAAGATCCTTTTCTACATTTAATGATAAAATATGTCTCAATTATCTTCAAACACCTCTGGAATTGGCGTTAATTCTTTACTTTGTGATTTTGTTAGTTTGGAGTCTTAATGACGTTTTCGATGGGTAAATCTAGGGTAATTTTTTCAATCGAGATGCTATTTTAATTTTCGATTCGTAAATATGGAGCAAAAAGTGCAACACTCAAGATTAATTTATAACACTCTAGATATTTTACCAGAAATTAACACCTATTTTATATGATTGGACAGATAAAGTGTGATTGTGTATTGATTCAATATATATGTATTCATAAATAATATAAATATACACTAACACAACTAAAAAAATGTTAGATTACTCCTAAAATGTTCGATTGGGCAACAAAATTTGACAGATTGAGAGTAAATCTATATTGAATTCAGATTCATCAATAGGAAACGCCATAAATTTTCTCTTAATAATTCAATTTTTTTTCTATGATATCGTATTCCATAGAGTATAATAATCAATATATTTGATTTGAAACATATTTTTAAGCGACGTCCATTGCACCAATATTAAATTTAGATTCCCCTCAGAAGGTGTAAAACGACCGTTGTCTAAAAAGCATGATTAACATAATGTTATAAATCTGTACAATAAATATAAATATGAAATATTTCCATACTTTCAATTTCATTTGGTTATAAATAAGTTAACTTGATATAATAAGTCACTAGAATTCAGGCAGAGTCTGTAAGGAAAGCCATTATGTGGTCATCAACATAGCTCGTCCCATAGGGGCGCATATATAAACGGAAATATAGATACAGTTCTTCTTCTTCTTCTTATTCTTTATTTATTTGTCTATTGATTCGAAGATTCTAATTAAACCTTGGCATCTCTGAAATATTACTTTTTTTGTTGACTGTTTACTGTTTTTTTTTTCAATATATAATATAATGGCTGTGACCTGCCCACTGGAGTTATAAGAGTTATTTACGGTTTATATAAAAGTATATGGGGTGTGATGTATATATATACACACCCAGTGCTGCTCAAAATGCATCATTGAAACGTATTTTATACAGATAATGATTCATCCATGTGTGGCATAGAATTCTTCTTGTTATTTTATATTTATATAATATAGGTACTTAGATTAAATTTTGAGCTATTTTAAGTTCTAAGCCTTCAATGGCATTAATTTTTTCTCTCAGTTAGTTAAAACAAATTATTTTGTGTATCGAATATATCAGTGTGTACGTATTCTTAATTTACCTTTCATTCATTGCTTCCCATTAATCTATGAAAACTAAATATTTTATAGATGTGATTCGTTCGAAGCTGAAAGCATAAGGACTCAAAGAAAGGATATGATTTTACTTATATAAAAATGTTTAGTTTTCTCTTCATTAATATGAGTACCGTATTATAAACATAAGTAGCTTTTATTATTAATAAAAAATCTGATTGAAAGAGTGTAACACTCCTCGATTTCATGAAGATGTCATTAGCAAAACTTATAATTTTTGAATAAAAAATAATGACAAATGGACTTACAATACAATTGACAGAGGTATTGACTTTTCGGAAGCAAATCTGGAGAGAATCGAATAAAATATCTGTAAAAATATCTAACTCCGTATCATTTGTGCTTTGAAATATATTTTTAATTGAAAGAATTTTAACGCTCCCATATTTACAATATACACGTTGTATTTAAACGGTCAATAAAATAATCGAAAACACCAATCGAATAAACGCTAATCAAGCCGTAGACTGAAGCAACAGTCATGAAATAATTAGATAAAAAGTCATAAACTTCTCTACTTTTGAGCTCATTAAAATTAAGCTAAATGCGAGTATTCTGTAGTAACCTTAACTAAAAATTAACTAACTGAATTATCAATCTAAGAGATGTTATGAAATGTTCAAGCTAGAGTTTGCTCAAATCATTCGCAGATGCTATTATGTAAACATCAATATTTGTTTATTAATCCCGCTATAGAAAGCGAGCAGCAACTTTTATTATTAAACTTATTAAATACTACATTCAAAACAACTGAATTTCTAAATCTTCATAAATATAGTTTCTTTTATAGTTTTTGCCGATTTTGTTCAGTAAATAAAAATTTCAATATTTTATATGCGAATAAATCAAAATATAGTATCGATACTATGTAATGCTAATTTTACAAAAAAAAGTATACCTGACCTACACATATAGCATTTTGGAAGAAACTTATCAGATACAAATATGTGTACAAGATAAATACGGATATATCTTATACGGATATTGGAATGGATAGTGATGCTCTATACTCTTTAACGGATTTCTTAATTTTTATTCCGAAATAACTTCAAGAGTACAGTATATTATTGTACATACACAATATATCAAAGTATTTAAATAAGTCAAAGCGTATTGATTTTCACATATCAGAATCCTTCTTTCTCCACTTCAATAATATAATAATC